TCGGTTTTCGGGTTATTCGGGTCCGGGTCGATTCAGCTTGGTTCTGACCCGAATAACATCCCTACACTAGCCCAAAAGCATCAGTGCAAGAATCTTCAAGACTTCCAAGTCTCCGCATCAACGTGTTCTCTGTTGTATAAGTTGGTTGTTGTTGTGTGTGTGTGTGTATATATATATATATATATATATATATATATATATATATATATATATTATATATATATATGACTGATCTGATATCTTGGTGATAAGGATCAGTTTACATATTTAGATTAGATTAGAATCAATCTCTTAATTAAAGGGATTCTCTAAAATAGTTTACTATATAATCATGTAATAATGTTAAACCCAAATTATGCTCTGTGAACCGCTTTATGCAATCGTTCTCTTTGTGAAACTTTTCTTAGTGAAAAACCATCTTTGTGATAATCCTTTGTTCTTCATTATAATTTGTTTGTATCCGGTCTACGAACCTTCAAGTGGTATCATAGCAAGTTTTTCATTACATTCAAGTAATCATGTCTTCTTCATCTCAATACAACCCTAAATCCTCCCTAGCAAACAAGATCCATATGTTCGATGAACACAACTTTGCCACATGGAAGGCACAAGCCATGACTGCTCTCAAGATTATAGATCATGACATGCTTGACATCATTAATGGATTGAAATTGAAGCCAAAGCTAGGTTACAATAAAGAGGACAGAAGACCCATAAGCTTAGATGTGAAGGCAAGATCTGTCATAGGAAACTCTCTTCCTTATCACATTTATTGCTTGGTCTAAAACTGTGTGTCAGCGAAAGAGATGATGGAAAACTAACTGTTGTGTATGATAGATAAAAGCCATCTGATAATGAGGAGCCAAAAGGAAAATGTCTAATGGCTCACATCGATGACTTTCACACTGAAGATTTTGAAAGCAACTCTAGTACATTCGATGTTGATCTCTCCCGGGCTGCAATAGAGTCAAAGATATAAGATTGGGATTCCTCTTCCATGTATCAGGTTAAGAATTTTATTAATTACTTTTCAAAAGAAAGTTTTGATATCTTTGATTATGTGTGTCTTGATCTTTCTAACTCTAATTAAGAAAAAGTCATTCTCAAGTCTGAGGTGAAGTCTTTAAAAGAAAAACTAATTGCAACTGAAAATTCTCTTTCTATTTTGAGCAAAGAAATCGATAGTCTCTCACTGTCGAATAATTTTTTCTTCACTTAAAAAGAAAAATCTAGTGAACGTGCCAAAAATATTCAACTTATCATCAATAACTAGACACATTCTCACTTCAAAATAACTAAAATAATAATTGCTAAAATTGTTGATCAGTGTGAGAAAATTCTTGGTGGTAAGATTGATGACGTTGTCACAATTTCCAGACGTATTGAAACTGAACAAACTTTTTATAATGCTTGTGATCTTGAGAAAGATTTTAAAACTAGATTTTTCAGTACCTCTTTTATAAATCAAACTTTGATTGACAAATATTTCATCACCGATTCTAATGGTCTCACCAAATGTAAATCTCTCCTTTCTGCTCTTGATCCTTCTCAACAACCTCCTAATTGTGATTGTATGTTACCTAAGACTGAGATTTTGTTGAAATTTCCCATTTCTAATGGTGAAATTCACTCATTCAATAAAATTCTTAGTGAATTTCCTCAATGCATTGTTAGCGATCTTAATACTGCTTGTTACTCAATATCCTCTTAAACTGATGTTTCATCTCATTGCACCATTAATAGCATACATAGTTCTAGAAAAAAGGATTTTTAAATTATATGAACATAATTCCACTCATCGAAAGCCGAATGTTAAAAGAAATCAAAGTTCTAAGAAAAACTTTGGAATCAGGGTATGATATCGATGTGGAGACTCCTCTCACAAAGTCAATGAGTGCACCTTTGAAGAGAACACTAAACGTGTTGATAACATCATTACCCGAAATAACAAGTGGATCAAAAAGGAAAACTCCTTAAATTGTCTTCCTGATGAATGTTATAATATCTTCTCTTAAGAAACCCATTACAAAATGGGTGAGTAAGTGCTAACTGTATGATTAAGCATTGCAGGGCCAGGAGCACTTATGGTAATTAGACAGTGGATGCTCAAGGCATATGACATGATTCAAGTCTCTTCTGGATGATTATGTTAAAAAGGATGACCCTACAATCATTTATGGAGACAACAACAAAGGAGCAACTAAAGGTTTTGGTTCATTCAAATTCAAGTCCATGGTGCTGAAGAATGTGATTTATGTTGAAGGCCTTCAAAATAATCTCATCTTAATCAGTCAATTGTATGGCACTGGTTATAAAGTCTTTTTCAGCAAGGAGGAAGGAAAAATTGTGGATCCAAGGAATTTTATTGTGCTTTTTGCATTCAGGAAGAACAAGATTTGCATAATTTCTGTTGATTCTGTTTGTTAAACATATTTTTTGGCTTTCATAATTCTCAAACATGAAGTCTTTGCTTTAAGAAACACAAATTCTAGCTTTTGTCTTACCAAAGGAGTATACATTATATGTTCTTATCTATCAAACTCTATATGTTATCTTCTGTCTCATTTCTTTTGTCTCAGGATCATCTTTCTTCTCCCTGACGCTGACTTGTATATCTCTTTCTTCAAAGAAAAGATCAGCTCGTCAAAGCCTTCTTTATTTTAAGCCTATCTTTTTTTGCAACAAGAAAAAGTGAAACTGGTGAGCATGACACAACTAATTTTCATAGACGCTCTCACTGCTACACCGATTCCCATCTGAAATCCAATGAATAAATTGTCAATACAATGCTCCATGTATCACATTTCTCTGTTCACAATTCTTTGCTCCTTCGAGTATCTTCATGATGAACTTCATAACTCGAAGGTTACAAAGATTAGATTCCTTTAACTCGTTGGTTACAAAGAATATTTCTTGCTCTTATTTTGTTCGTGGTGAACATGGAGCTTGGAATCCATCTGCAACACCTCAACAATTAAGGAAAATTATACCCTCTTGTGTTTAGATTTGTTTTGACATGTTTAATATTTCTTGTCTACCCTTTTATTATAGACAGATGTTGAGGGGAAAATTTCTCATAAGAAGGTAAATCATTAATGACCTTTCAATTCAAAGGATCCGCAAAATATGGCCTTTATGGTTCTCGTGAAAAAGCTGCACATTTTTCTTTTGACTTATTCTTCTTTGACTATTTTGTTTTCTCTTATCTGTTTTCATATTTTGTCTTGTACCATGTTTCTTGAATTGATGGTAAAATTTAATCCTAGTCTGCAACTATACTCTATGATACAAGGACTAAACCATCTATTGTTGACAAGTTCCACACTGTCTATGATTTACGCTGATGTCACCTCAACGCGATTGGGATATCCTACTTCTTTCCTACAAGTCTTCATTATAAAAAATTGACGGCTCACTGTGAAAAAAACCACACACCGATGAAAGTTTGAAACTTTGTGCCAATGTTTAGTCTATGTACCATAGTCTATCACACGCACCAACCTATTCTTGCCCTATTTTCTTCTTTAAAGTTTTATGATTCAGCGTATGATACCAGACGCTGATGAGAACTTGACAAATCTATTTCGATGGGTATATCATGTACCGTGATGTATTACACGCACCTATCCTCTCTTGCCCTAAAACTCTTTTATCAAATAAATTAATGATTCATTGTAATAAGCCATACGCTAGTGTATTACATGCATTATTCCCCTCTTGTCCCTTTTCTTCTAATAAAAGTTCATGATTCATTGTAACAAGCCATACGCTAGTGAGACTTCACAATACTATGTCAGTGATCTATAGTATAATCACATGTTATCAGGAGACATCCTCATCTAGCCCATCATTCCACTGCATCTTTGATAAACCGATACTAACGGTAACTTTCTTAATGATTACTTTCAGAAGAGGACAAAATTTCAACTGTCATTGTGGTATTAGAGGTTTTCACGACACTGTTTCTGCTGATAATGATTATGTGAAAAGGTGGGGTGGTTGTCAATAAAGAACTTATATCTTCGAGACTATTTTTCCTCCAGGCAATCCTCGCAAGAATCCTCCTGATCATCTTCTTCATTTCTCCAATTGTTGTAACCTTGTTAAAGCATTTCTCAGAAATCAATATGACTTAAGTTCTATTCGCATTCACTCCGACTGCAAATGTTGTCAAAGCACCCAACACTCTTGAGACTCCCATTTTCATTCAAGAAAACAATGTTGCAGTCTCCGACATTATTCCTCCATAAAACTAGGATTTGGGCATCGAATACTTCGTCAACTTATTTAAGAGCTACTCCTTACGCTATGCACTCAGTGATGTTCCTAAGCCTCTCTTCCTAAAACAAGTGTGCGAGTTCTACTTCTCTTGCACTATTGATGCAAATGCTCAAACCATGTCAGGAACTATTGGAGATGATCACTCTAGAGTTCATATTTCTTCAAACTCTATCAGACAAGTTCTCTGTTTGCCTCGAATGGTTGTCTGTGAAGAGGCTCCTACTGAAGCTAGATGTCGAACGATTCTTCCACGACTTGGTTATGATTCCTCCCATCAGGGTAGTAAATGTGACCCTGCTAAGTTCACCCTTCGTCAATGTTTTCCTACTGGTTGGAAGTATGTGACAGGAGTGACTGGAAAATGTCTTGGCCATAAAACTAGGAGTTTAGACCAACTGAATCTTTTCGAGAAACGCATTCTAGATGCCATGGTTCGAAGTAGGGATTTGGATTTTGCTCAACTTTTCTTTGATTAGCTGATTGAGTGCATCATTGGAAACAAACATCAAACATATGTGTTATATCCTCGATGACTTGCCCTACTTCTTGCTCACGCTGGTATGGGATACAACATCAATCATGGAGTATCCATTCCAACTCCATTTATCTCCTCAAAGATTATTAACAACGACCCTATAGATGGATATCCTCACTTATTCGATCCAATGATGTCTTGAATTGAAAATCCATATGAGGCTGAGGAACCACAAGAAAACCCTATGTTAGTGCCTGAAACTAATGATGAAGATGAAGAGGATAATGAAGAAACCAACAATTCTTCCAGTGATACTGATGGAGATGATGAGGTGTCAGATAATGATGAAGAGAAATCCAGTTCATTAGCTGTAATGGTTCAAGCCTCAACCCAAGCCACCGAGACACAAGTAAACATTTAAACTTCTCTCACTAATTATAACTTTGGATAAGCTGAGCTTGAGTTTGATCTACCATCATCAAATTCTCCAATCATTACCAGTGCTCCTCCTCCAAGATTAAACAAGCATATTTGCTTTCCTTCCTCTTCTCCATTACCATCTCCTCCTCCTAAGGTTTCAAAGCATGAACATACTCTACCACAACTTGACACTGCACTTCTGCAGTCATCTTCAATTCAAACTACTAATGAAGTTCCACTATCACCTCCTCTACAAACTGCAGCTCCTATTCCTCGGATCTCGACTCCTCAAATTGTTATTACCTTTCAGGGGGAGTCATGTTCTACAAACTTTCAAGCATTATTGCTTTCTCAGCTTAAATTACTGGTAAACTTGACAGAATCCCTAGAGCAACGTCTTAGCAAGGGTTGAAGCTAATGTGGCTGATATTAATCGGTTAGGTTTTTATTCAAAAATTAGTTTCAAAAACATAAGATTTAGAAATGGAAGACTTTGATTTTGAATAACATAAAACAAGTTTATAACCAACCATGGATATTTTTTCAAAGTTTGGAAAGAAAACAAGCACCAAAGAAGAATATGAAGAAGTAATAACCTTTGTAGTTCTTTGGGTCCTCTTGGGATGTCACACCCCAAAACCGGAACGGCGGAATCGTTCGGGGGTGGAGGACGTCATCTTTAGTATCACGAGATATGTATATGGTAAGCAAGTAATGAACAACCATTTCATTTCGAAAGAAATTGTTTACAATGTGTGTGTTCACAAAACATGGAATTCATACACAAATAACAAAACAAGACTTGAAGCTACAATGCTCCGTCTTCTGAATCCCCAGCACGAGTGCCTGTCTAATAGTCTCCTGAGAATACAAGTTATTTGAAAGAGTTGATCAGCAATTAAGCTGGTGAGTTCATAAGATTTTAGTGATGTGAGTAAGTTGTAAGGTGTTGTTGAAAATGTATATGTAAAAATGGTGTAAGTTGTAAGTTCTGTTTTGAAAAGTTCGCCTGTTCCTCTAGAAAATCATATATTTCCTACTTTGATGGAAGTTTAAGTAAAATGACACTACAACCCATTCTATGGGTACTAAGTGGGTACAAGTTATATAAGACTCAGAGTAAACAAACAATCGATTGTGCGCATCTGCCTCAAGCTCACAACCAAACGAGGAACATAAATTAAGGCGGATAGCACACATCCCATTGTTTGTTAGATCGTCGTCATATATAACCCTGGTGTATTCACTTGTTACTCATGGAGTTAGTCGTGATGGTTCCTTTGTATCTAATGAAAAGTTCTTTAAGAAAACCCTTATTTCTTATAAATAAAATGGTGACCACAATGACTACTTTTATAATAGCTTAGTTTATACTGATATATATATATAATCTAATATCGGATAGAAAGTTAATTGAGTGAATCTGCCCTAAGCCCACAACCAAACAAGGAACAGGAAGTAAGGCGGAAAGCACACATCCAACTACCTATTGGATATTAGTTTTATATATAAACATGATGTATAAACTAAGGTATTATAGAGTTACTCACCTAAGGTCCTTTAAATTGTACTGGTTTAATAAAATGAATTAAACCATTTACTGTGAGGTTTCTAGTTTTGTATACCAAAAGTACTGATTTTGGAAAGTATGTTTTGTACTAGAAAAACTGTTTTTTGACTCTGTGTCCTATAACCTGACCCATACTTGGTACCCTTATGATGACTTGATGTATACTAAGCATACATATATATAGAATCGGGTAGATAATAGATTGGGTGAATTCGTTCCAAGCCCACAACCCAAACAAGGAACAGGAAATGAAGCGGAGAGCACACATCCTATTACATGTCGGACCCTATTAGTATATATATATCCTGTGGTGTATACATTAAGGAATCATAAGGCTAGCATTATGGTCCTATCTTTTAAACGTAGCCTTCTACCAAGGCATCTTCTGTTACGTGCTAGACTCGACTGTTCCCTTAGTCGATTGTAAACATGTATATTTTCCCTAGTTTATAACTATCTTGACTCGAAAATAGTTTGAGTTTGACTTTCAAGTGGTACTGTCACTTTATGAAAGTAATGGGAAATGTAAGTACACAGTTGTCGTTTATAATGACATGCGGATGTACTAATAACCTAAAAACGTATTTGTTTTATTACGGTTATAATGTGAAGGCTAGAACCCTTACTATACGCTCTCCCTGTCAGGAGATTAGGGGAACTAAACACGACCTCTGCAAATTCTTGCAAGCCATGTAATTCACATTAAAAGTATATGATCATGTATACCCAATATAACTATCACCTTTTGTTTAAAACAATGAGTTAGTGATTCATTGGTATAATTAGATCCTGTATGTGTTCTCATGCTATAGCAACCTAACTTGTTTGTTTTGTATTGTATATTGTACGTTCTGTTTGTTTCTCACAATTATGTGTTCTCTCTGTATGGTATTGTTTGTTTCTATACTTCATTGTACTAGAAGTAATGAAAAGTATTCTCCTAAACTATACCTATTATAGCTTACTAATGTTCTATTTGGAATGTTATTGAAAAGACTCATTTATATACTAAGCTATGCTTGTACTTTAAATACAGAGTTTTGTCTAACTATCAAATAACATAACTTTAAAAGAGTTTTGAAATGTTTTGACAACTTATAAATGACATAAGTAACATTTTGAAAGATGTTTATAACAAACATTTACACAATTATCATTGTGTTCAACTTGTATCCCCCCCCCCCCTTTAAAACAGTTAAAAGATTCATTACGGGGTATGAACTCACCTGATGTGGGTGATTCAAACGGGTATGTGTGTAAGGATTAGAAGTTCCACGAATGAAGTCCCGAGACACAATAGGTCCTAAATGACATATGAGGACACATATTGACATGAATATAGTGTTTATAAACAACTATATGAAAGGAAACACCTTCCGGGACTAGGAAACACCTTGATTCGAGTGTTATAAGTACTAAGGATTGCATCTAAGGGTTGTAGGACCTTGTATTTGAGTTTAGGGTTCAAGGGGACACTCTTTTGGAGTTTACGGTTTTGTGACCATCACCCTTGGAGTTTACGGTCGTAAACCCATGAGTTTACGGCCGTAAACTCATGGTAAGTCCACCATTTTGTGTTTTGAAGTCCTAAAAGTCATAATGAAGCATTCCTTCTTCAAGTCTAAGCCTTAGGGAAGTGATTGTGGCATCATTTCACTCCTTTAGGGCGTTTACGGCCCATGGACCATTTCTCCATGTGTTTACGGCCGTAAACTCTAATGGTTCATGGTCTTTTTGATGTTTAAGGTCCTAAGCACTTCAAGGATGGGTTCTGGGTCACTTGCCTTGCATCCTATAGGGTTTATAGCCCTAATGGCCACCAAAATGGGGTTTACGGTCTTGGGAGTTTACGGCCGTAAACTCCCTTTGATCTTGTGTTCTTTGCGTTTTCTAGATGATAAAGAAGTGTAACAAGCCTTATAACACGCTAGGGTAAGAGTACTTACAATAAAGGAGCTTGAAAGGGTGTTAAAAGTCCAAGAACACTAGTGTGTGTTCTTGGTGTTCTTGGTGAAACTAAGAACACTTGAAGATCTACACAAATGGAATGATTTCACGGATGAAATCATGTAAGATCACTAGATTAAGCAAGAGATCAACTAAACAAGGAAGAAAACACTTACTTTCTTGAAGATTTGGAAGAAACTTTGGATGATACTTGAGAGAGAAATGGTTCTAGACTTGAAAGTGTGAAAAGAACTTAAAATTAACTAAGTGCCACTTATATAGTCATTAGGGTTTACGGCCCTAATACCATTTGGGACGTAAACTCCAAACTCTTGAAGTTTTGGGACTTTATTGTTGCACAATAAATCCTAGGGCATCCTCTCTCCAGTTATCTCTTGAAGTACTAACTTTAAAACACTCAAACTGATTCCTAAAAGCTTGAAAGTTAGCAGAAACAGTTCTGACTTCTATTGAAGTGAATGGTTGTACAGAAAAGAAATTTCGGGTTGTCACATGGGAGGCTTGGAAGTTGATGGAGAATGTAGAACCTTTGAGACACCAAAATGAAGCTAACTTGATGTAGATGTTAGTCAAAACTCTTAAGCTTTAAGCTTATATCCAAATATTACTTAAATAGAGAAAAATGCAAGTAAGTAAACTTCTAACACTTATTTTCAAGAGAGAATATGAGGGAGCAACGGTTTTGGTATGTGAAAAATGAATAAATGAAATCCTTCATAAAGATAAATCATTACCCACGAGTTCTTAACACTTTAAGCACTCCATACTGTAAAGCCTACATGTCTCCCATGCCTCTTAAGCCATGCTTACTTTCCCTTATTATATTCAAAAGACCATGTCTTGTTTCCTAGAAACTATCTCATCTTTTTTTTTTTATATAAAAAGAGAAGAGAAGTTTATAAAATTCTTATAACTCTTTATAAGATATAAACTTTACCTTTTCGCTAAAATACAAAAGAGTCTTTCTAGTCCAAAATAATGTGCATGACTTAATTATTCATACCATATGATATATTATGTTACTTGCTAATGAAAATTAATATTTCCATGAAATAAATAATTTCCAATTAATTATAAGAGTTTATTGAATATTTATTAAAAATAATTTCTAATAAATAATAAATTATATCAAGTTGTTGTTAGTGTGACCCATTAGTATCATATGTTAATTAGCAATATCACTTTAATATGATTCTTGGGCATACTTGATCCTTCAATCTCCCACTTGTGAAAGATTCATATTAGATTGTTACAGAGAGTGGTGAACATCTAGCAACATTTCACTACCCCCATCAACATACAAATTTATTCCATTCTATCAACGCCGAATTCCCAGAAGCTCAAAGCTACAATTGGTGTATAAGGTAAGTTTATATCAGTTATCCATTTGTCACAGACATCATTTTAAAAAAGAGATATGGATCACGATCAATCTCATCAGGTGTTCAACTTTTGTTAAGGCTCCTTAGATGTCTAACCCTCATCACATAAGACGAACAAATACCATCTTGACTACATAAGCCTCTTGCATAGTTCACACCATACCTGAAAATGGATTTATAATTGCCGGTTAAGGACTAACATTTGGCCATATCAAAGCACAACACTCCCTACACTCAAGTCCCACTATGTATCTCAGGTGTTAAGGATACAAATATAGTACCTTTTAATCAAGTATCACTCATGATAGTAATCCATGAAGTGATCTTGATGCAGGCCAGTTCAATACCAGTTCTCTGACAAGTATCTATGAAACTTGGTTACAACCCATTGCCTATTTTCATCTAGTGAAAGTCAACCGATCCAATTCATATTATTCTTACTTTATAATTGCTCCCACAAATATAACCGACTATTAACTTTTAGAATAATAA